TTAAGTTTACTAAGGTACCTGCATGCCAAATTTCAAGCGTCTAACTTAAGCGGTTTAGATTTTTCATACAAAAGCATTTTCCCGCTAATTCCTGTTCCCGTGGGAATTTCGGGAATTCCTTGTTGTAACTAAGGTTTAAGTTCACTAATGTACCTACATGCCAAATTTCAAGCGTCTAACTTAAGCGGTTTAGATTTTTCATACAAAAGGATTTTCCCGCTAATTCCCGTTCCCTTGGTAATTTTGGTAATTCCTTTCTTAGTGCACCTCTACGGTATTTAAGCTACGTCCCTTCCAAATTTCAAGTGCCTACGTTTAGCCGTTTAGGCTGTGCGTTGATCTGTCACTAAGTCGGTCAGTTTCTCCTTTTATATATTTAGATTCTTTTTAACTACAATGTCGTTTATATAAATTACATTGATGTTTTTTAATATTTTAGTTCTTTTTTGTTTCTTTGAGTAATATTTGATTTTAATATTGATTTGATTTTAAAGGTGGAAGAAAAAACGTAAGAAACTATTAATAGNGTAAATGTATGTACCTAAATAGCTGCTATGGAATGTATCTAGGTGACCTGGAGATACAGCCGGATTATACAGGATGGAAACGAGAAGTTACAAAATCCAAAAATTCATTGTTACCAGCTTCCATAATCTGTAACGTATTATTGGTACCATTTGAAAGAGCTCGTGAAGCACTTCTCTCTACTCAGAATCAGTAACTAGTTTTTCGATATCTTGTATAGTTTAGAAATAATCGAGTGAGATCACTTATCGTTTCATATGTATAACCACCCTGTATAATCCGGCTGTATCTCCAGGTCACCTAGATACATTCCATAGCAGATGTAATAGACATTTAGGTACATACATTTACCAATTTTGGTGATAAATAGGCATTTTGTATTAGTTTTTGTATAACGCCTGAACAAAAACAAAGGGTAATATTTTGGTGTTATACATAGATTTCGAATATAAAAAATATATAATTTAACTAATTAGGACATGACAAAAAAACTGAGGTATGTCTCGTTTCTGTCGGGTCTGGGTTTTTTTTGTATGGGGCGTGACCGTTCTTCTTTCTGACTTGTTACCAAAAACCATTAATTGTGAACTACTCCACTCTAAAACATTGAATTGATACTTTTTGAACGCTGAAAGATTAGAGATCATTTTAAAAAAAGTGCTTGCCCAAAACTTACGTAATCCTCAGAAATAAAAGATTTCATCCCCATATAATGTTCTACGATTTTTCGTACTTTAGAAACAAAGTACCATTTATGGTTAATAGCGAAAAACTCAAAAGTGGAAAACTCAAAAGTGGAAAATTTAATTCCCCTCCCCCTACAAGTTTTGAAGAAATTGCTTAGGTACCAGCTCACCCATTCTACACCTGCTTTGTTGAGTGGACTTAGCTGGATGGGCGCTGGATGGAGCGTAGACTTCATCGAAACCTACTAAATCTCACGCCGGCGCCGGTCAAAATTTAGAGGGTGCGCCGCCATTAGTATTTTTTTTAACTCGGTGCGCACCTTTATAGGCCAGTAGAATTCACAAAAATGAATTAAATCGGAAATAATTCCTACAAAAGATTTTTTTGCTTTAATGGCTTCATTAGTTGCCCATAAAGACTCTCCTAGGTTTTCGACTTCGACATAGTTGTGCTTAAGTGGTGGGGGCCCCCGAAAGAGGCGTTTTTTCGGTTTTCCGGTTATACCGCGTAAAGGACTTACCCTATCGAAAAGTGTTCTTCATGACGGTTGAAGAGCACTTAATCCTGCATTAAATAAGACCAAATTCATGTTTTGGACAAACCGTTCTCGTGCTTATTTTCGACAAAGTAGAAAATGTACGTATAATTAATACTCCTCTTTACGTCCAATAGCTCGTCACCCGTAGGCTCCCAAGCCTTATAAAGGGCCACCTTAACCAGCGTATCCCTGTCATGGCTCGCGAGTTGGATTCACCAGCTATCCTTGTTCGTCCCAGCCGATCCTTAAGTACGGTTGCTGCACCTCTTACTTGCACTCTCCTGAACGACTGTGTTATCTACTATGGCTGCACCCTCCTGCACGACTGCATTAGCCGTATGCCTGGTCCAAGGTTCGACTCCAATGCCTTATTTCCGATTTAAAATCTAATTCTACTGGCCTATTAATGCAGATTGCATAAAGTAAAATTTATTAATATTAAAAAAATATTTATTTAGTAAATGATTTTCAGTGTTCATAGCATTTATTTAATGTCACCATGTTGGGTTATTTATGGACTCGTTTTGTATTTGTAAGGACATCGATTGATACACGCAACATGAAGTGATCTCGCTAATAGTTTGCAATCATACCAAAATCCATAGTGAGAGGCAAATGAGTCTGAGAATGAGAGATATTGCAAAACGAATGTGACAAGGCTATGAGTGCAAACTTAGTGCTATTATGCAAAGGTGTGAGCCGAAAATATAAAGTCGTAGAAAAACAAGCCGACGCCGCGGCGGGCCCGGCGGCAGTGACCGCGCGGGGTGGTTAAACTTTCAAGGATGCGCCGCGCGAGCCGCGAGCTCCAATCATAAGCGTTTTTTCTACACAAACTGCAGTCTCGATCTAGTTCCGCGTCCATCTACGAAAATTAACCGTCACGCCACTCCGAGCGCCGCCCAGCGCCCGCCGCTCCCAGCGCCCGGCGGCTCTTACAACACGAGGATCTTTTAAATTTCTCTTATAATTTAGGGTTTATATTATATTTATTTTTAGTTATTTAATTTTTAGCGTTAAGAGTTGCATCTCAAACTAATTTGAAAATAATAAATAACTAGAAAAAATTGAACTGCCTCAGGCGGGAATTGAACCCACAATGGGTTTTTTTTTGTTACAAAGGAGTGGTCAACTGATAATAAAAACAATTTATTGTGGTACCTAGCAAGGGCATTATCTCATTTTGTAATGTTGCCCATAAACATGCCATTCCTTCGAATACACTAAGTCTTGTATACCGCGACGGGGAAAATCAAAGCGCCGCTGGATTAAGATTATAAATATAAAGGCATACTATACAGCCATACTCATTAACACAAACAGAACAAATCAGTTTCGAGCTCAAATATTTTAGATACCTAATTATGTCAATACCTAATACGTACATCAGATGATCCATTTGCTCGTTTGCCTACTTTCATATAAAAAAAAATAGCACGTCCCTGTATTTTAATACATTTTGTTTTTTACTATTTCACGCAAAAACTACAGTATGTTTATAACCCAGAATAACACATTTTATTACACTATAATTTATGACAATATGTGACAAACTAAATTTCACACTGATAAAGCCGCAGGCAAAAGCTAGTGATGAAATAAATGTTTATATGTAAATGACATTGGGAACTTTTTGCCCCACTTTTCGAAAAGTAGCGGACACAAACGAAACCTATCACAGATGATACATACTAATATCCAATGAATTTCCGTGCATTTTTTTTTTCTCTCTTATATGGGAATATTGAGANTAAAGTTATCATTTGTGTAAATGAAAACATACTTTTTTTGGTAAATGTTGCCATTATGTAAACATTTGAGAGCTGCTTAGCTGATCACGGCTTCAAATCCGTTGAGTAGCGTTTGAGAATACCATTTAAAATTGAAGGATACTTAAATTTAGGAGCCCGTCAGCTGAGTGACAGATTTGAGTAGTGTTTCAGTATTCGGCCGTGAGAGTTGCATCTCAAACTAATTTGAAAATAATAAATAACTAAAAAAAATTTAACTGCCTAAGGCGGGAATTGAACCCACAATGGGTTTTTTTGTTCCAAAGGAGTGGTCAACTGATAATAAAAACAATTTATTGTGGTACCTAGCAAGGGCATTATCTCATTTTGTAATGTTGCCCATAAACATGCCATTGCTTCGAATACACTAAGTCTTCTATACCGCGACGGGGAAAATCAAAGCGCCGCTGGATTAAGATTATAAATATAAAGCCATACTCATTAACACAAACAGAACAAATCAGTTTCGAGCTCAAATATTTTAGATACCTAATTATGTCAATACCTAATACATACATCAGATGATCCATTTGCTCGTTTGCCTCCTGTCATATAAAAAAAAAATAGCATGTCCCTGTATTTTAATACATTTTGTTTTTTACTATTTCACGCAAAAACTACAGTATGTTTATAACCCAGAATAACACATTTTATTACACTATAATTTATGACAATATGTGACAAACTAAATTTCACACTGATAAAGCCGCAGGCAAAAGCTAGTGATGAAATAAATGTTTATATGTAAATTTAGCTCAATTTAGGCATCTTGAGTAACATTGAACGGTAAAAATTATGCACTAATGCACAATTTTTTTACTGTTCTAAGTACTTCATAGTTGCTCTGGCAATATAAATTCAGGTAATTTTGAAAAATGTATGTAGCTACTGTATTTTGTGCATTGATTTTCTATTTTGAAAGTTACGATGAAATTAAGTTACCCAAGACAGTCATTATGTAAAAAAAAAAATGGTATCATCAAAAGAAATGGATTCACCCAATGGTCTAACTAAATTATGTATTATATAGAACCCTTTCTACAGTAAAAAGTTAATTATTGTTTGATTTTACTTTAAAATCGATTATCCGGATTTTCATTATCTGGAATAACCCTGGTTTTATTAATTGATCCGGATAATCGGGATTCTACTTATTCTATGGTACATAATAATGAAAGCTGTGTTATAATAAATTATTATTGCTTTGATTATTATTGATTTAAGTTCATATAGGTACATTTGTTACTATTAAAATATAGTTTTGCGATTTCTTGCCAAAACCACATTAAATAAACAAACAACCCATGTTTGTTTGTAATTAAAAAAATAAATATATAATCTAAAAAGCATTTGGAGAAATGGCGATGCTATTGTACGTATTTAATAATATTCATCTCCAAAATATCTGAATATGCCTTTCAAAAGATCTATAAAACGTGACTGCAAGTAAAAATACTTACTCTCCATAGGCACCTTCACCGAGCACTTGCGCCACGAGCCATCCCTCGACGAACTCTCCGCCGGCCGCCATGTCGCCGGCCGCGAGGTCAGGTCACCTGCAAGCCTGCAACAGAGCGCCGTCGCGTCAATCCCATGTCCACGACCCACGTCCAGCCTCCGCCCGGCCCGGGCGCTGCCCGACACGATCGCACCACGCCGCCATGCCATTACCGACACCACCATTTTACATTACATCTTCACGAAATCTCGCAAAATACCTATATCCAAATTAATTATCCCTTACCGTTAATCGATATTAATTGCGAGAGAACACTACGGTATTGGAAGAAATCAATTTTTCAACAGCCTTTAAATGGCGGAAGGCACGTGGAGATTGGCGAACAAAGCGATTGCCGAACATTGCCATCGCAGGGTCGCGCCCGTTCTTCAAATTACGTTTCTTTATCGATTAGTCGTGTTTCATCAAAATACGATGCATTGAAACAATATGCTGAGAACATTATTGATTGATATATCTAAATTAAATATACTAACAGTAAAATTAAAAACGTAAAAGCAGCACTAACCTTTCTAGACACCAAGCACCATTTTGCCATTTTTCTTTCTGCAGGCGAGGAACGAACGAGCGGGTTTGCGTTTTGTTCATTCATTTCATCCACCAAAACGGCTGTAACTAAACGCAGAGATTAATATTTTTGTCTGTGTCGCCGCGCCGCGCCGGCGCTAAGTAACACTTGGGATTCCACGCGCAAAGCTACTCACAGATGGCGCCAGCAGTAATCCATTTCCACTCATGTTAATTTTTTTCTGAAGTTTTTTGTACTCTCTTTGAATTATCACGATTTATTTAAAATAAAATGAATTTAACTACACTTTGATGAAATACGCTCGCACAATGAGGGTTTTCACTGGTTTTCGCGTATGAAAGATCCGCTAGATGGCGGCATAGAGAAAAATAATGTTTAACCCTTGTCAAAATGATTATTTTGTTTTTCAGAAATTATGTTTATGTTTTTATGTTACGCGGTTATTAATGAGGGTTTTCTCGATTTAAAAATCCGGTGCATGATTGGTGGATTTCGATATATCTGTCAATGTCGTATAATGTTCAGCTGTATTGACAAATCAATCAATTAAGCTATATTGATGCTGTAACGTAAACGATGCGCAACTGCGGGTCTAGTCAAAACGCACTTTAAAATCGCAAACCCATCGCAAACCAGTCGCAAACAAATAAACAAATCGCAAAAGAGGTCGATAACAAAAAAGGCTTAGTCAAACGGCAAAAAATCGAATCGCAAAGCCCTACCTATCGATAATCGAAAGACTGGATTGAAATTTCCCATACAAAGGCTTAGCCAACATGCATTTAAGACTCAATCAAAATCGAATCGAATCGCAAAACCCGCCATTTTCATTGCGATTACTAAAACCCCGGTGATAAGCTTCGATTCGATCGAAAAACAATAGGGTGAGTTGCACCACCTAACTTTGACCGTAACTATGTCGTTAACCGGTGTTTTTTGTATGGAGTTTGACAGATTTTAGACGTTTGTCAAAGTTAAACTAAGATGGTGCAACCCACCCTAAGGCTGTTTTGACAAATCCGTATCGCGATGTCGTTTTGACAGCTAGTTTGACAGCGAAGCATAGACGTAAACAGAGAGCAGAAAGAAGGAAGAAACGAATTTAAAAAAAAAATCCGTGATAATATAAATTATATCCTTAAGGCACCCCAGAATGGCACCCCCCCGTCATGACATCACGACCGTCCTTGCCATGCAGATGCGTCAGTGAGTACTAATCTGCGCGACTTTGTCACCCCCTGATGCTTGGCACCCGGGGCGGACCGCCCCCACCGCCCCCCCCTTACGCCGCTACTGGACAAACGTCTAAAATCTGTCAAACTCCATACAAAAAACACCTGTTAACGTCATTGTTACGGTCAAAGTTAGGTGGTGCAATGCAACTCACCCTATTGGTTTTCGATCGAATCGAAGCTTATCACCGGGGTTTTAGTAATCGCAATGAAAATGGCGGGTGTTGCGATTCGATTCGATTTTGATTGAGTCTTAAATGCATGTTGGCTAAGCCTTTGTATGGGAAATTTCAATCCAGTCATTCGATTATCGATAGGTAGGGCTTTGCGATTCGATTTGTTGCCGTTTGACTAAGCCTATTTTGTTATCGACCTCTTTTGCGATTTGTTTATTTGTTTGCGACTGGTTTGCGATTTTAAAGTGCGTTTTGACTAGACCCACTGGATTCCGATTTTTAGCCATTTGACGTTTCAAAATCACCAGCGCCAGCGCCATCTGCTGGACCAGTTCGATATTTTTTTTGGTATGTTTTGTCTGTGCTTAAACTAGGCGGATGTTGATGATTGTTGAGTCTTTTGCTGGTATTTTTTCTGAATCAACAGAAATTAAGATCAAACGTTTGTTTTGGTAGTTTTGTGTAATTTACAGGTTTTACTGCTCATGTTATAATGGTGAGATTAAACATTACACTATGTAGTCAATGAGTAGGTAAAACTTATTCCCTGTATTGCCAAATGTATTCTTTGTTCCAGGCCGGATATTCAGAAGATCAATTAGCAGGTAATCAATTTACTAAATTTTAACAGTTCGTTCGCCTTCGATAAGAGTAGTGCACTAACTACTTTTTGAGCGATGACCAAACTGGTCATGCAACATGCATGTGCTACTACGTAGGTACATACGCAAGGTGAGGTGTGTCGGGCTGAGTCATGTCAATCAACGTCTTTACCGAAAGCGGTGGCTATTGCACGCGCCCTAGTTTCCTTATATGGTAGGTATTTTAAAACCATTCTGGTCGGGACGGCGGCCGTCGTCCTCGGCTTGCCGCAGTGCGCTGGAACTCTCTGTGATCGCAACATGTTCGTCTATGATCCCCCAACTAAGCTCAGACTCACTTCTGTTGAAGGTATTTCATAAGCATAGCCCTAAAATCTTGTGTTGATGTGATAACATGCACGGAAATAATCTTTTAATAGAGTTTCAGGAGGCATTCCAACTATTCGACTCTCGCGGCGACGGCAAGATTCATGTGGCACAAATTGGAGATGCTCTTAGGGCCTTGGGCCAAAACCCTACTGAATCTGATGTCAAGAAGTGTACACTGCATTTGAAGCCTGATGAAAGGATATCATTTGAAGTCTTTTTGCCGATATATCAAGTGAGCACCCTTATAGTTTGAGTATTTCACAATCTCTTGTGTCTGGTTAGTGGTGATTCTTTTGCATGACTATCCATGTTTAACCAAATGTACTAATAAACAGTTTTAAAATGTAAAATGCTGGGTAGTTGCAATTGTTAAGCAGGTAAAGTTGCATTTAAATTCTTCACATAAAAGTTGACAACTCTGGAGTGATAAAATTAGAGATGCACCGAATGTATATTGAACCGAATACGAATGTTCGGCCGAATATTCGGTTCAAAATGTACCGAACCGAATATTCGGCCGAATCATTCGGTTCAAAGATTTTACCGTCTAATGTTGACTCATAAAGTTTCTATACATTTATTTTTTTTTTTCATTTGTTTATTGTTGATTTTTAAAGAATTTTATTTGACTTACAGTGAATTAAAACTACAAATAGTTATAACAATTCCTAGTTCACCATTCACTAGCATACCTACATACCTATTAAATATAGATAGAAATTTATTTAGAAAAACTTATTTGATTTTATAAACATATTTGAATACTTGTGTTGGTTCCATAAGATAGTAGTTACTACATTATAACTATTCTAAAAAAAGTTTTCTGAAAATAGTTGTTTGTTACTCAAAGCAGAGTCCTTAAAATTTTCAATTTCATAAAAATTAAATTTACTGTCTGTAAAGCAGCAGTTTCTTTAATAAAATAATTATTTACTGATTGTTAATCTTTTTATTTTACAGTAAATATAGGTCTGTTTCATTTTCAAAAACTATAAAATACTTTTGCAATAAACCACACTTATTTAGTAAATTAGTTAACCAAACTGTTTAATTAAATATATTTTTTTTAAATGATAACACTACTTTTAATATTCGGTAATTATTCGGCAATTGAACCGAACATTCGGGCGAATACGAACATAAAAAAATATGCCGAATGTACCGAATACGAATATTCAACCGAACATTCGGTGCATCTCTAGATAAAATGTTTTGCCAGACTAAACTGAAGGTTCTGTTAGTAGCCTACCTTGTAGACTCAAAGCTTTTTAAAAAGATAACATTACCATTCAGTCAAAAGTAGCTGTGTCCATTATAAAATTATTAATAATACAAATTTTAATAATTTATTTAACATGTTTTACATGCACATAATGTTGTGTGAATTATTTCTTTTACTTGTAAATCTTTTTTATTAAATGCTTAATCCATCAAACCCCTAAGCGGTTGCATGAAATCACTTACACTATCTTCTCTCACTTATTATGTAATAATTAACAGTAAACTTCAGAAAGTGTTCATTTTAATACTTAGGGCTGTTTCCCTTGCAGACGTCTTGTTTTTTGCAGCTACTGCTACAGAACACTAATGTCATGTTGTTTACAGGCAATATCAAAGGCTCGTAGTGGAGACACAGCCAATGACTTCATTGAAGGACTGCGCCATTTTGATAAAGATGGGAATGGGTTCATTTCTTCTGCTGAGCTTCGCCACCTTCTGTCAACTCTTGGAGAAAAGCTGAGTGACGATGAGGTAATGAGTTCTATAAGTCATGCCATAGGCTGCGTCACAATCCTGCATGCATGCATTATTTTATTGGTGTGGTCTCCTTCACATGCTGACTGTGGACAACATTTCGAGTTTTCATGTTGATTGGAAGTTAAATCGCGACTTCGAATGCGTGGACTCCGATTTACTCCCTTAGGGGTGGAGCTTCGTAAAATTGGTTCTTCGCAGGTGTCTACACCCTATAAGGAACCTACCTGCTAGATTTCAAGTTCGTAGGTGTTAAAATTTCTGAGATTTCGTGATTAATCATTGTGTATTTCGCTTTTATAATAATACTAGCGGCCGCCCGTAAGNCACGAATTTTTAAGCAGATTTTTTTCAAAAAGTATAATTTTTTATTATTTGTTGGCATTTTTTGTTTATTTTATGTATTTTTTTAGTATCGCCTGTTATTTAGCATTATTACTGTTTTTATTTTATCAGGATATACCGCTTAGTTTAAAAGTTATTACGTTTTCTTTACAATAAGTAATTTGAAGAAAAAAAATTCTATAAAAAATTAAAAAAAAATCTCAAAAAATTTTTGACCTCTTTTTTGTCGATAAAAATAGCTCTAGTTTCATCTATTTTCATATGTACACTTTAACGTGACTCACACTGTATATCGGATATACAGTGTGTCCGGGCATGTAGTGATCAAACTTTAAGGGCGTAATCTATGGACAATTTTATCGATGAAAATACTTCAAATTTGGGGCTTGACCCATTTCTCGCAAAATTAGAAGGATTTAAGTTTTACATTTTTAGTTTTCACCTCTTCGTTCAAAAACAAGTCAAAGCGTGCGTAACTTAACATTAATAAGCAAATATTTTATATCACGCGATAGCTAATAAAATTATCTATTAGTAGAAGTGGAAAACAGATACATGTTTCATACATTTTAAGGGAGTAAGAATGGATTTAATCCGAAAAAAACATAACTTTTTTCACTTCTTTTTCAGTTATTTTCCAACTCAATAAAAACCGGGTCGTTAAGGTATATTTTATTTGCATTTTATTATTAGTGTTTGAGCTATTCTACAAAATGAATGTAAATTTATTAGTCTACGTCAATTAGTTTCGAAGCTATTGTTGAACAAAGATACCCCTTCCCAGCCGGTTCCATAGCGCGGCTAGTCATGTAGTCGGAGTAGGTTGTGCGATTCTTTCTAGGCGGTGCATTTTCGCATGTAATGGCGCTATGGAACCGCTGGAAGGGGTATCTTTGTTTAACAATAGCTTCGAAACTAATAAACGTAGACTAATAAATTTACATTCGTTTTGTAGAATAGCTCAAATACTAATAATACAATGCAAATAAAACATACCTTAACGACCTGGTTTTTCTTGTGTAGGAAAATGACTGAAAAAGAAGTGAAAAAAGTAATGTATTTTCCTAACTAAATCCATTCTTACTCCCATAAAATGTACGAAACTTGTGTCTGTTTCTTCTTCTACTAATAGATAATTTTATTGGCTATCGCATGATATAAAATATTTGCTTATTAATGTTAAGCTACCCACGCTTTCACTTGTTTTTGAAGGAAGAGGTAAAAACTAAAAATTAAAAAATTAAATCCTTGTCATTTTGCGATAAATGGGTCAAGCCCCAAATTTGAAGTATTTTTATCGATAAAATTGTCCCTAGATTTCGCCCTTAAAGTTTGATCACTACAAGCCCGGACACACTGTATATCATAAATATCCGATATTTTGATATTTATAATAAATATCGGATATTTTCGAACCCTGCAATACAGTCAAAAGTAGCTGTGTCCGTTATAAAATTATTAATAATACAAATTTTAATAATTTATTTAACGTGTTTTACATGCACATAATGTTGTGTGAATTATTTCTTTTACTTGTAAATCTTTTTTATTAAATGCTTAATCCATCAAACCCCTAAGCGGTTGCATGAAATCACTTACACTATCTTCTCTACACTTATTATGTAATAATTAACAGTAAACTTCAGAAAGTGTTCATTTTAATACTTAGGGCTGTTTCCCTTGCAGACATCTTGTTTTTTGCAGCTACTGCTACAGAACACTAATGTCATGTTGTTTACAGGCAATATCAAAGGCTCGTAGTGGAGACACAGCCAATGACTTCATTGAAGGACTGCGCCATTTTGATAAAGATGGGAATGGGTTCATTTCTTCTGCTGAGCTTCGCCACCTTCTGTCAACTCTTGGAGAAAAGCTGAGTGACGATGAGGTAATGAGTTCTATAAGTCATGCCATAGGCTGAGTCACAATCCTGCATGCATGCATTATTTTATTGGTGTGGTCTCCTTCACATGCTGACTGTTGACAACATTTCGAGTTTTCATGTTGATTGGAAGTTAAATCGCGACTTCGAATGCGTGGACTCCGATTTACTCCCTTAGGGGTGGAGCTTCGTAAAATTGGTTCTTCGCAGATGTCTACACCCTATAAGGAACCTACCTGCTAGATTTCAAGTTCGTAGGTGTTAAAATTTCTGAGATTTCGTGATTAATCAGTGTGTATTTCGCTTTTATAATAATACTAGCGGCCGCCCGTAAGTTCGTANTTTTTAAATTGTCACTATTAATATTTTTTACTGAATAACCTGTAAAGTTATTCTACAATTTCTGAAAAATCACCTAAAAGTAACCTTTTCATTAGTGTAACCTAAAAGTAACCACAGCAGTTCAAAAGTAACCTAAAAGGTTACAAAAGTAACCTTCTGGCAACACTGGCGAATACGGGGAGGTGTGCGAGGGAGAGTCGCTCCAGCGAGGCGAGGCGAGCAGTTAGCTCGATCGGGTTGTATTGTACAAGGTGTCTCAAAAGAAAGTATAATTAGCTTATTGCTTGAATGTAATAAATCCGAGGGGTGCGGGGGTCATGTCAATCAGTAGCCTGGTCTTGGGAATTTAGGTGCTATGGAGTGTTTTTCGGAAGCAGACTGCGCGTTGTGCTTGCGAGAATTTTACAAAAATGGTGATTCGGCGTCTGTAGCGCGTAGAATTCGCCACTTAAATGATGTGCCAAGCATTCTTATTCGAAAATGGGTCAAAAAGTTTTAAAAAACCAGTTCAACGCTGGAAAACCCTATATCCGGGTGACCAAGTTTATCAAGAACAGTAGAAAACGTGGAGTGTTTATCAGTCTCTTCATGACGACCCGAACTTTCAATTCGGAAGTGCAGTGAAGTTACACCGCATTTTGCACAAAGATAACATTAATTGGCCTCCATGCAGTCCTGATTTAATCCCTATGGACCTTTCCTATGGGTTATCTTAAATCTAAAGTTTAAGCCACTAAACCGACTTCCCTGGCGCATTTGAAAGAAAATATTTGTCACGAAATGGCAGCCATCACTGAGTCTACCTGCCATGAACACGAGGGCCTACATTTGGACGATATTCTTTTTAAGAAAACTCTTTAAATGTAATGTAAAACATTTTTTCGATACACGGCTTAATTTTTTTAAGCGATCCACTAAATAAAAAGTTTGTTTTGAGACACCTTGTGTATCGGCATCAGCTCGCAGCTCGCCCGGCGCGGGGAGCGGGGAGCGTCGCTGATCTGTGTGACCCGCGTGTGCGCAGGTGGAGCAGCTGCTGCAGGGCCAGGAGGACTCGCAGGGCAACATCAACTACGAGAACTTCGTGCACCTCATCATGCAGGGCTGACTTCGCACGCATTTAATTCACTTCCGTATTGTGTATTTTGATTTAATTATTTATGCCAACTTTATAATTCCCTATTATTTCCATTTAAAAACATATTATTCCAAAATCTATTAGCATTAAGAAGTTTTATATTATGTATAGTAAGATAATGTACAGGAGAGTACGTGTTATGATTATGGATAAGAACTGAAATAAATTTATATTTGAGGTCGAAAATTTTAAATTATTTTTTTTTCACCTTTTATTGAGGGAGGTCTTTAAAACGCTCACTAAGGCCCAGAACACACGGTGAAATGCAACTGCAACGATACTTCAACTTCTAGTTACTTTTGAGTTGCATCTAAGTTTCTACTTTCTGCCATAGATTCCGTTGAGAGACCACACATGACGCGACCAGTTTGAAACCGGTTTGAAACGCGTTGCAATGTGTGATCTCTCAACGAACGTTATGGCAGAAACTTAGATGCAACTCAAAAGTAACTAGAAGTTGCAGTTTCGTTGCATTTGCGTTTCACCGTGTGTTCTAGGCCTAAGCTAAAAACTGGAACAATAAATGGAACTGAAACCATGGCTAACAAATAATATTGTATTAATCGATCGGTAATTTTTATCGTTCTCGGGAGTTGTAATTTTTTTTTTGTAGGCACCTACAGCATATTAATTACTTAGGCTGCATTGAGTGATTCATGTTAAATAAAATTTCGATAAAAAAGTATAAAATTTTAAAAAATCTAAGATATTTTTTGTCATTTGTTCCGTCGATAAAAAGGCTTATTCCACTTCCCAGTTGACAATCCCCGTCAACGGAGATTAGTGAACTTTTTGTTCACTATTCACGCATATGTGCACTTTATCAAAACGCACTGTATGTTCAGTTACCTATGTGTTTATTATTATAATAAAATAATTTTTCATAAAGTTATAATTTCAAAGATTTTTTAATCAAAAAAGTTCAAAAAAATAAATATTTTTCATATTATAAAAATCAAATGCCTCCCCAACCTGTCTGGCCAGCGTGGGGAGTGTAGGCCAAATCCTCCATTTCCCTCTGGTAAATTAGAGAGGGTCGTGCTCCTGCAGTGGAGAGATGTCCTGATGATGATGATGATGATGAAAAATCAAATAAACATTTTATAACACTAAATATTACAAATAATTCAAAGAATTATCATCATCATCTGGGGCATTATCATCCGATGTATTATAATAGAGCTTTTATTAAGAACTTTGATTCTTTAGGGATATTCTGCCTTTTCATTATACATATTTATAAGTTTTCTTCTTATCAAAAATTACTTTTAGAAGCAATTCCTATAAAAAAGAATATTTACAATTAATAATTACCAATCAAAGTTGCACAGCGTGCTATGGAGAAGGCTATGCTCGGTGTTTCATTGCGAGATCGACTCAGAAATGAGATTCGTAAATGAACTAAAGTCGCTGACATAGCCCGACGGATTAGCAAGCTGAAGTGGCAATGGGCAGGGCACATAGTACGCAGAACTGACGGCCGATGGGGCAGCAAGGTTCTGGGATGGAGGCCGCGTACCGGGAATCGCAGCGTGAGACGTCCACCCACAAGGTGGACCGACGACATCGTAAAGGTAGCAGGGAAGCGCTGGACGCAGGCCGCTACCAATTGATCAACATGGAAAGCATTGGGGGAGGCCTATGTTCAGCAGTGGAGCGATATTGAAACACGGGAGTTTTACTCTTGCATTTGTAATATTTAACTCTTTCCAATTATTGAAAAAAAAAGGGGAAGGCCAATTTTGAGGTTTCAGGAAACACTGTGGTCCGTGACAAAACAAAAGCAACAAAAGTCACTCGAGCGCGCACGCGTTAAGAGTGAACTAAGTTTGGGCTTTGAGGTACCTATTCTTAAAGACTCCCGTTGCCCCCGTGAACGGAAGAGCTATTAACATTGTGTGGGTACGGTACGGCACTCATCTGGTGATGCGCGTGTGTACCGCCTGCTCTGCAAATAGGAAATTACGTGAGTTAAGGACAGTGATTAGACAAGAATAAAAGACGCAGTATGCGGCGATGCGAGCGAAGGCGCGGGGGCCGCGGGCGCTTCCTGCCGCGACTCCCAGCGCGTGCCTTTGTTTGCGGCCGCGGGGGACGCGCGGACATTACTCACTCCGCGCCTAATCCGTGAGGTTAACTCTATTAGAGTTAGAAACGGTCAATTGATCTCGCGCACCGATCTCGGTCGGTCGTGGTGGTTCGCGAGCAGCGAGCAGCGAGGCGCGAGTGCTAGTGCGATGCGGGCGTGGGCGGCGTGGGCGTGCGCGGGCGCGCTGTGGCTGTGGGCGGGCGCCGGCGGCTCGCTGCTGCCGCTGGAGGCGGAGCAGTTGCGCGCCAGCGTCGGAGGGTTCGCTGTTATGAACTGCCACCTCGACTTTCCCTTCGGGAATGAAATACCTTATCATTTGCAGTGGGATAAAGATGTGAGTGACATGCTGAAGTATTTGTTTATTGGGAACCTTAGAAAAAATATTAATTTTCCCGCATGTGTTGCTATAGGGCTGTATTAAGGTCATAATAGCACACTTAGGTAGGTATCAACACCGTATCNCCGGAAAGGGATCAACACCGTATCACCTTGCCCGCCCTGTCAACCCCGAGGCGAGGTGTTTACGTTGTTACGGTGCGGATGTGTGCAGTGCATTGCAGTACCTACTGAGTTTCATACGAATACTGACCGCTTCGATCGAGTAGCTACGGTTGCGATTCGTTTCAGAGCTGATAAGTGTGCTTCATCCTTAAAAATATTTGTTTTTGATAAGATTCACGCAAGATTTCACAAACTGGGCGCGATTGGGATTAGATCTTATAAAAGTTTCGCCATCGGGTCCAAAGCAAGTTGTTCACACGACAACCCGCCGCACACAAAAAAACACCAGATTTTCTATACCTACCGGCGAGGGCCGGCGACGTGTGCATTACCCCAGCAAAATTTTTATAAATGTTGTGCTTTAGAGAGTCGAGAGCAGATAATTATAATTAGTCCATCGTGATTGTGAGTTGTCCACTAAGGCCCAGAACACACGGTGAAACGCAACTGAAACGAAACTACAACTTCTAGTCACTTTTGAGTTGCATCTAAGTTTATTAGGAAAAACAGATTTTGCTGCGGTAACGTTTCAAACATTACCATATCCTACCTACCTACTATAGTCCATTACAAGATTTTTAATACAGTGTAAGTAAAGAATCTGAACCTTTCTTGATTAGTAAAGAAATGTTCTTTTGAACGAAAACTGTAGGTAGGTAGGTATACCTAGGTAATTTTGTGGAACATTAATTATTGCAATTTAAAGAAAATGAAATAAAATTTATTTTATAAATCACATCTTCCAAATGATTCCCTTGACGGTTACAACAACATTCGACCAATCTACCATCAAAATTTTGTAAAACTCGTTACACTGACCTCGATTAATGGAGTATGGATGATTTTGACTTTGACTTTGACTTTGATGGAGATGAATGCAGCAGTTTTTACCCGACTGCGCCAGAAGGAGGGGTTATGTTTTCCAAGTGTATGTACCTATTCATTTTTAGGTAGGTAACTAACGAAAGCTTTTCAAAATGTTGATGCCAGATTGGAAGAATGTTGTAACCGTGTTAAGGAAATCACTTGGACGGTGTATTAAAAAAAGGTAAATTTAAAAAAAATCATTTAATTTTCTTTGAAATTGTAGGTAATAAATAAAGTTCTACAAGATTATACAGGGCCATACCTTAGATGCAGTCAGCTATTTTTTATCGACATGATTGTGCGTACCTATACCAGAGCCCCGATTACGGTAATTTTTAACGTCAACAATCCAGACACGTTTCTCGATTCTGCGATACGATTGGTCGTTCAACAGCGTACGTCAGCTGTTTTGACCAATCGTATTGCAGAATCAGAAACGCGTCTGGATTGTAGACGTTAAAAGTTACCGTAATCGGGGCTCAGTGTTGTCGCATTTCACGCATGGTAATGTGTCTGCGGTTGCGGTGCGTACGTAATGTCAAGGCAGACCACTTTTCAGCCTTTAAGAAGGTATTTTACATAACTATACATCATAAAATCATAATACACTCACACACACTGTACTGTACGTACCTACACTATTATTCCGTCATCAGAGTAGGTATTACTGTGGTATTACTTACTTAGTTGCTACTCGCTGTAATCGCGGCTGCGCCCTGAGCGAGCACAAAGGGNATAATAAACCTGCATTTATAAACAAAAAAAAACATTTAAATACTTTTTTAAACTTAAAGATAACGACTTGGACAAACGTATTTACGAGTACCTAAACTAACAGATAGTTAACAAAAAAATTTCAGTCTTTAAATCAGTCAGTTATACAAACATAATAAAATATAGCATACTCGTAGGTGATCATTATTAGTTTCGGTTAAGATCATTACTTGAAAATTAAATTAGTTAAAAAAAGGAAAGACTAGGCCAGTCTAAACGCAACGTTAACCTATTAAATAATTAAAAACTTACTTTTGTCTAAGAAAATAGGCTTTCAAGAATATTAAAGCTTCAAAATCGAAACTCGAGAATTCTCGAGCTCCGGTAATTTTTTTCTCGTCTCGAATGAAGCTAAATTTCTCGAGTTTTCTCGAGTTCGAGAAAGCTCGAGCAGAAACCCTAATTAATTATTGCAATTTAAAGAAAATGAAATAAAATTTATTTTACAAATCACATCTTCCTAATGATTCCCTTGACGGTTACAACAACATTCGACCAATCTACCATCAAAATTTTGGAAAACTCGTTACACTGACCTCGTTTAATGGAATATGGATAGATGAATGCAGCAGTTTTTACCCGACTGCGCCAGAAGGAGGGGTATGTTTTTCGAGTGTATGTACCTATTCATTTTGAGGTAGGTAACTTTAACGAAAGCTTTTCAAAATGTTGATGCCAGATTGGAAGAATGTTGTTGTAACCGTGTCAAGGAAATCACTTGGACGATGTATTTAAAAAAGGTAAATTTAAAAATTTTCATTTAATTTTCTTTAAAATTGTAATAAATAAAGTTCTAGAAGATTATACAGGGCTACCTTAGATGCAGTCAGCTATTTTTTATCGACATGATTGTGCGTATACCAGTGTTGTTGTCGCATTTCACGCATGGTACCTAGGTACCTAATGTGTCTGCGGTTGCGGTGCGTAATGTCAAGGCAGACCGCTTTTCAGCCTTTAAGAAGGTATTTTACATAACTATACATACACTCACACTGTACGTACACTATTATTCCGTCATCAGAGTAGGTAAGTAGGTATTACTTACTTACTTAGCTGCTACTCGCTGTAATCGCGGCTGCGCCCTGAGCGAGTACAAAGGGGCGCCACCTGTGCGCTGTGGTGACCTGCGCATGAGCGAGCGGATCTTTTGTCACAATGTATGTGAATCTGCACATTGTTCATCATTCTTTATGTGCAGCAGGCCCACTGGGTTACTACACTAATCGGCACATCCCATTTACCGCCTGATTGGGCACGAGCGTCTAAATAGTCGTGCTTATTTCATTTGCCTGATGACCTTATTACTGTGTTATTACCCTATTTGCTCTCTCTGAGATGAAAGTTTCTACTAGGTATAAAGTAGTCTACTTACATCTGTTTTCCGTAAAGTGTGTACTGCGGGCTGCGGCACACTGGTGTACCGTGGTCATTATGTAGAGGAAAAATAAGGTTATCTAAGTATAAACTTATTTTTAGAAAGTAATTATGGGTAAGAAAAATACTTATATTAGGTAGGTACCTTTTCTGCAATTTAATGCTTAGGTTTGTCGATTAACAATAATAAACCTTGTTTCGTTGATTTATACATCATAATTTAACATATATTTTATTAGGTAGGTGCATGAGATTTGTAGTGTAAGTAACCTGCCTCTTATACCGTTTTCTAGATGTACCTACATGCCTACCTTGAACACAAACATTTTGCGGAGTTGTGATGTGATGGTCGAGGTACTAACTAAGTACTATTATACTACCCGTTCGCGCTAAGTTTGCCGGTCCGTGGAATGCCCTTCCCTTAACTACGATTAAACGCATTTTACGCAAATAGGTACACAATTTTTATCAATAATAATAAATAAAAAATATTTTAAATATAGTTTGATAAAGTTATAGACGTTTCCGTCATATTGCCAGCGGCAAACTTAAAGCGAACGGATTGTAGATCGTTTCATCGTGGTTTCATCCACGAAGACGCGCCCCACCAATTTTTGGTCGAGGGAAGCGCGGGGTGTGAGGGAAATCCGAGCGTCATTAATAGTGTGCGTGTGCACTCATGGATAATTTAGCGTGTCTTGACTTATGGTCCTATGTCCCCTAGATGGGGCAGAGGGCGTCCACAACAGTCCTCCATCTCGTTCGGTCTTGAGCTTCTCGCTTGATCTCGCTCCAGGTTTTGCCGATCTTCTTCGCCTCGTCCGCTACAGTGCGCCGCCAAGTTTGCCTGGGTCGACCACGTTTGCGTTTTCCTTGGGGATTCCAATCCAGAGCCTGCTTAGGGATGTGATCGGGGTCCCTTCGGAGAGTGCGGCCAATACAGTTCCACTTGCGGCGCTTGATCTGCTGGTCGATCGGAATTTCGTGGCAGCGTTCCAATAGCTCGACGTTGGAGATTTTCTCGGGCCAGTATATGCCGAGAATTCGGCGAAGGCAGCGGTTGATGAAGACCTGCAGCTGGTGCGAGATAACCTTGGTGACCTTCCACGTTTCACACCCACGGACCCGAATATTTTGATCTTGACCCTTCGGGTCAATTTCCGTGACTGCCATATGGGGCGAAGTTGTGCGAAGGTAGCTCTGGCCTTGGCAATGCGCGAAGTGATGTCCTCTTCGGTACCTCCAGTTTCTGACACGACGCTCCCGAGGTAGGTGAAATTGTGGACTCGTGCCACATCCTTTGCACCAATCCGTAATGGCGTGCAATTTCTCACACCAGATCGCATCTCTTGGGTCTTCCGGCAGTTAATTTTGAACCCTGTGATACTGCATATCGTGATGCGTGTGGCTCAGCAAACAGAGGTCATCGGCATAATCTAAGTCTTCTAAGACTCCGATTATACCCCACTCTATTCCACGCCGTTGGTCTTGATATGCGCGATTCATGACTCCATCCAAGACAACCAGAAAGAGAAGGGGCGAAAGCAGGCAGCCTTGCCGGACGCCCGCATGCACCTCGATGTCTTCGGAGATGAGGCCGTCGTGAGTCACCGTACAAGAATATTTCCTGTAGATGGCCTTCAGTAGGTCGATGATTTTCGGCGGGACACCAATGTCAGCGAGTCGCGACCATATACTTGCCCACTTCAGCGTATCAAAGGCTTTTTCAAAGTCTACAAAGGTTAGGTAGACTTCCCTTTGCCATTCTGATGCCTGCTCCAAAATGATACGCAAAGTATTGATCTGGTCGGTACACGAGCGGTTCGGGCGGAAGCCAGCCTGTTCCCTACGCAAAAGAGGTTCAACGGCCCCCGATAACCTATCCAAGATAATCTTGCAGAAAACCTTTGACGGTATCGAGAGCAAAGTGATACCTCTCCAATTGCTACACTGGCTTAGATCCCCTTTCTTTGGCACAGTAATTAAAAGCCCCTTATTCCAGTCGTCTGGGAGTTCCTCTTCCATCCAGATGTTTTCGATGAGAGGTGTCAGAACGTCGGCGGCGGAGTTTACGTCGACTCTCAGCATTTCTGCGGTGATAAGGTCGAGTCCTGGGGCCTTGCCAATCTTGAGGGACAGGATAGCTTTGGTCACTTCGGAGAGCTTATTGTGTCGTCTGAAGGGCAACTGCAACGATGGCGTGAACACTTTCAGGAGGTCTTCCGCCCTACCCTGATTACAGCCACCACCACGCCTGAGCCACCGCAGCACACCTCTACTCCACCTAGGCTGCTCGACATCAATGTGGAACCACCATCACACGACGAATTTAGCGTGTAGCTACCGATAAAATTCATCAAACACTAGCGGAAGAATGGTGGGGCGCGTCTTCGTGGATGAAACGATCTATAGGTATGTACCTACATAGTAGTGGTTCGTAGAGACTACGTAGGTTTCTCAATAAATTTTGAGGTACAGAAAAATTTGCCAAGTGCCTGTCGTGCCACGCGCAGTGTAGGGTTCCGTTAGTTGTCCGTCGTTAACACAGTATATTTTAGAAACAAGCAATTAGTACTTTTACTAAAGTCACTTTTAATGTTTTCTTCTAATGCTGCGTTTACACTGCGCGGAAATTAGCCAAGTCAAGTCAAAAAAACAGTGGAGTGGGGATTAATTATGGATGAATTTCATCCCCACTCCTCTGTTTTTTTGACTTGACTCGGCTAATTTCCGCATAGTGTAAAAGCAGCATAAGGATTTTTTATTAGGTAAGAAATTTTCCTTAAACGATATAGTTTTCCTTTGAAATTTCATGAAATGTACTACATATTATTATGATTTTTTCCAGATTTTTCAAGCTAACTGTNGGATCTTTAATCAGAATAGTAGGTACTTAATCAACTCCCTACTTAAATATGGCGAGGGTTGAAATCAACAAACTGTATAAAAAAATTTAGTCACTTAGAAAAAAAAATTATACGGAGTTAACTAAGTCGACATCAAATAATATTATGGGTAGGTTGTCAGGATAGGTCTTTTGTAATATAAGATTTTAGGTCTTTTGTATTCTAGCTCTACAGGCCCGTAATGCGAGTATGTAGTAGTCTGTTCATGATTGTGGTAAAGAACTAACCTAGTATGTGCTAGTATTTGATTACAATTTGATATGATGCAGCTGCAGCTTGTGACGCAAATCAGTAGATACCTACTTATGTAAATAAAACCCTTACACCCGGTTTCTGAATTAAGATTTTTAGCTTGAGCGGCTCATTGCAAGCTCAAAGTTGTACTTACCTACAGTGTGCTATGGAGGAGAGGGTTTTGTTCGGGGATAGTATAATTATGTAATTAGTATTATGTTATCTGTGTTTGGGGTTTCTTTGAGTAATAAAGGCGTCCAGTTATAATGTAGGTAGGTATAAGTACCTACTTACCTATTCTGTCGTAGGGCCCTCCCTTGCTTAATCTGCCTTGTTCAGTTTGCTGACAGTAGGTAGGTATAACATTGCGGGAAACTCTTTCCAAAAAAAAAAACATGTCTACATATAAACAAATTAAAAAAATCCTAAACATTGTATAAAATCAACATATTTTATACAACGTGTTCTTTTTGATTTTCTGGAGTATTAATAAGACCACTTCAAAGAATGGAATGGCATTACATTTTTTGTTAAATTTTTTTCGACTTATTTTTTCATACGAAATTATTTAAAAACTTAATTTTTCACTGAAATAGGTAATTCATAATTTATATACACTTATCAATAAAAAGTCTGCACAAAAAGACTAGGTGACAATTTTGAAAAAAAAAAAACTAGATTGATGATACTATAATCTAAATCAACTAGGTATCTTCTAAATCTAGAATCCACAATATCTTAAAAAATATAGGCTATACTTACCACCTTCCAGAATCAAAATGCTAAATAATAATTGTAGTCCTTTTTATATGGCAGTAATTTTTTTATTTATTTATTTATTCATAAATTGCAATTTAATACATAGTTACCTTAAGAAACTTAAAACTAGTCTAAGCTACTTATGTACTATGTACACCCGGTTGGGTACAGCAATCCACTCTAATACAATATAAAATATTATAAGTACCTACTTTCAAACTTATATTAAACAGTACTTACTATTTTATTATACTTTTATAATAATATGGATTAATCTAGTTACTACTACTTATAACAAAATTAATTATTTATATTCCATAAAATCCTTAACACTATAGAAACCTAAATAAAATACCGAAACATATAAAATTGGAAAATAAATTAATAAGACCGTTTAGTAATAAACTTCAAGATTAATTTTGTTCTCAAACTGCTTCTACTCACTTGATTAATTTTTTAGTTATCGCGACAAATAATCGTTCAAATATGTAGATTCGGATGACGCCTGTAACACGGCCTGTAATTTAGTTTGTCACTGCTTTTACCTACAATTTGCAAAATTATTAAAAGTACTAATTTTATTTTATGGATTGATAAAATTCCTAATTTTATTTACAAATCACATATACCTCTAGGAGGTAGCAATGTAACATTTTGATCATCTTGTAGGTACCTACTACCCTTTATTGTTGGAACTCCTGTAACATTGCGAAGTGAATAAATGAATATAAATAAGCTAGGTAGGTTTCGAAGAGTAATGTTGTGTTTACTAGACGTTATGAGATAGTTTCTGCCAGGCAATTTACTCAATGAAGTGGAATCTTTCAATATGATGGTCGCGTGTGCGTGGGAGCGTCGCGCACCACTCGACTCCGTCTCGACGTCGAGGACTGCTAATGCGCGGAGTCGGCCTGCTTCTGCGCCTCCCACGGCCTCGGCCTGGATATGCTTGGGGTAGTGGTCTGCTGCTCCTCCAACGGCTCGCTTATCTGCTGTCGGAAGTAATAAGGATGACGGTGACGTCTTATTCTATCTTATAACAACTTACATCGCACATGTCTAAAATAAAAGTACCTAATCATTCTTAATTTGGTAGTAGTCTGTAGTTAATGCACGAGGAGCTATTTAAATTTCTCCTGGGAGAAACTTGAAACGGCCTTAACTAGGTATAGTCGTTTTAATTAGATTTTTATGTGTCAGAAACACCCGATTTAATTTATAAAGTGGGCCGCCCGCGCCTCGTGCTGTTTGTCTCATTCTCAAGTAATTAGAATATGGCACCGCGAGCAAGTGTCGTCTTCCTGCCAATAAACGAGACTCAGCGAGCGGCGGCCGCGGCTGCGCGCTGCGGGCGGACGCCTGCGCAGCGCTGATGCAACGCCTGCGCGAGCACCCGCCTGATGGATGTACTTAAATACCACAGCTTTATGCTTTAGCTCGGGACAAACGGCCGTTTATTTGGTACAATTAGTTACGTTAACGACACTTCTACCTCATTAAAAGAAAAGTTCATTCTTAACGCAATCAATCTTATGTCGTATGTGCGTAGTTATGTTTATGTGACGTCTGCCTACTTATGCCTGGTACGTGAGTGTGGGTATTTTGTTATCGTAATGCTTAGAATGACGGTTGTTGCGGTGTTCTAGGGCGAGACGATCTTCTCGTGGTACAGCGGCGAGGGCGCGGCGCGCGTGGCGGACCGCTGGGGCGGGCGCGTGCGGCGCGTGGCGGACGGCCGGCTGGGGCTGGGCCGCGGCTCCATCAACGTCAGCGCCGTGCGCGAGACCGACGGCGGCCTGTACCGCTGCCGCGTCGCCTTCCCCAACCGCACGCCGCCCGAGCGCAACAACGGCACCTTCTACCGCCTCGACGTCGACGGTCTGACGCGCTCGCTCTCTCTCTCGTACCCCCTGCACACTTATGTACTGTCACCGTTCTTTCTTATCTGCTACTTTTATTCTTTTGTTATTTACTGCATTTTCATCTGTCATGTAAGTATGCATTTTCGTAAGGCCTACTTACCTCAGTTAACACAAGAAGAATGTAACACCGCTAGCAAAACTCACTTTAGTCGTGTACGTGGCTTCTTACTAGTATAAAGCACCTGTAAAGTGCACTAGCTATATACAAAAAATCTAATTATTTGTGATACTTATTTAATAATAATATTCGGTGCAAAGTAATCGAATCATCACAGAATGAATGCGCACCCCTCGCGTCGCAGGCGGGAACCTGATCGTGACGCCGCCGATGAACGTGACGGTGCTGGAGGGCGCGCGCGCGGAGCTGGAGTGCCTACCCAAGAGCCGCGCGTGGGAGGTGGCGTGGTTCCGCGACGGCGCGCCCGTGGAGCGCCTGCCCGAGCTGGCGGCGCGCGCGCAGCTGGCGCCCAACGGCAGCCTGGTGCTGCGCGCCGCCGCCAGCGCCGACCCCGGCCGCTACGAGTGCCGCGTGCGCGACGCCGCCGGCCAGCAGCAGGTGGCCAGCGCCTACCTCGACGTGCAGTGTGAGTCAGTCTTGCCGTCAGCACGTCAGTCAGGTCAGGCGAATGACCTCTTCACCGTCGAATCACTTACCTACCCAGAAAATTAAGTTAAACTCCGATACCCTTTTATACAGAAGGTACTTAGGTAGGTACCTGTTACTAGAAGAAGTAAAATAGAACTTCGCAATGATGCCGTCTCGTCTCTGGCGAATTAAAAAAAATCAACTAAAAATATTTTTGCTCATACCACTCATAGGTGCTTATTTAAACTTAGTAGCAATAGCACAAGCTATATCAAGTTGAGCACGTTTGGTTAAAAATCTAAATTCAGAAATCGGGCCTAAGCTACGGCTGAAACTCAGTCCTATAATAAGTAGATAAGTTCATCAAAGGTAAGTAAAGGGTGTCCAACCAGTGGGAATTTTTCAAATTCTAAATGAATACAAATAAAACTAATGATTTTTATTATTGATGCAAACTGCAGTTTAACAATGTGGATTTTATTATTGTAGGCAATGTCGTCTAAATGACGCCCGTTTCACTCCAAGCACTCTTACAGCCGGACCCTTACATTCGCAACTACGCGAGAGCAAAGTGCGCTGGTGATTTCCCTTCATGGCGGATGTTTTCTTACAGAACCTGAAATGTTTGAGGATTGTTGCTGTAAACTTTTGACAAGAAAAAGTCGCGTAGTGTGAGATCTAGTGAGCGAGGCGGCTAGGGTGTCCCTGTACAGTACGAATGACCAATCGCACCCCCCCGTATCATGACATTTCATGACCGTCTTTGTCATGTAGATGCGCCAGTAAGTACTTATTTGCGCGACTGTTATCACCCCCTGATGCTTGGCACCCGGGGCGGACCGCCCCCACTGCCCCCCCCCTTACGCCGCTACTGCTGCTTGGATAAAATAAAAACTAAAACTCACATAAGTATTATGGAAAGTAAAATTTGAAAGATCAACGTGTTCACAGACAAAGCGAAGGTGGTGTACTCGCCGAAGGAGCAGTACCTGCCATACGGCAAGCCGGCCAGCCTGGACTGCCACTTCAGCGCCAACCCGCCGCTCACCAACCTGCGCTGGGAGAAGGACGGCTTCCTCTTCGACCCCTACAACGTGCCCGGCGTGTTCTACAGCCGCAACGGCAGCTTGCTCTTCAACCAGGTGATTCGTTGCGAAGTATCAGGGGTGGTGGTCGGCCTCACGGAATCCGCCTTCTTGATAGATAGCCACCCTAGTGTTATTTATTTTTATTTTATTTTATTTTATTTATTACGGTATACCAACAACATTACATACAAAGTTATTACTTATGTATCGTTCGCTCGAAACTTTCTAGAGATCAAATTTTTCTTTCAGTTAGGTTTTTACATTTATTAAGCTTCGACCGAACTATCGCGTCCATAGATCGCCGCAACCGATGACAGGACGCGTTGATGTGAACTCAAATTCATAGGTACTCGACATCGTCATCGTCATCGCGCACGCTGGCTGCACGCGTCGGTTTGGCCGAACCTTTACATACGTAGCGAACCTAGCTCTATCATAATACCTTTAAAGCGTCTAATGGCACCTTCGACCCGGGCAGGTGGACGAGTCGCACGAGGGCGAGTACTCGTGCACGCCGTACAACGCGCTGGGCTCGGAGGGCGCGTCGCCGGGCGTGCGCGTGCGCGTGCAGCGGCCGCCCGCGCTGGCCGCGCGCCCGCGCCCGCTGTACGTGGCGCGCCTCGGCGACGCGCTCACGCTGCCCTGCGCGCTCGAGGCGCGCCCGCACGACCTCCCCGCCACGCTCCGCTGGACCAGGGTGAGAGATTCTTCGCTGCCAAATAATTGATAAAATTATAATATGACGTCACATTTCGAGTCTCCGTTTTTCAGAAAGACGGAAGCGAGTTGCCCGTGGGCCGTTATTCGATCACGGACGGTAACCTGACGATATCGGACATCGCGGAGGAAGACCGCGGCGTGTACGTGTGCTCCGCGCGCAACGACGCCGCCGCCGTGGCCGTGGAGGCCGAGATCCTCGTCGAGAACGTGCCGCCGCGGGCGCCCTACAACCTTTCCGCGGCGCCCGCGCTCGACTCGGTGCACCTTTGTTGGGTGCCAGGTGAGTGTTGCTCGCCGATATACCTACATAAGTACTCGTACCTATTTAAGTAGTTAGGTTAACTTTGCGATTAAGGGTGAAGCTCGCTTCCACCTTCGGCCTGATTGTCACTTACCATCAGGTGAGATACAGGCCAAGAGCTTCCTCGTTGTGTATTTCCTACTGTATCGAGTTTTAATTAAGAAATAAATAAGCAAGCGTAGGTACATCGGTTCAGGCATCAATTTATAGAGTTGCGCCAGTAAAGCGAAAACGATTCCAGGTCACAACGGCCTGGAGGTGGACTACACGGTGTGGTACCGCGAGCGCGCGGTGAGCGAGTGGCGCACCATGCGCATCCTGTCGCGCGGCGTGACGGACGCCACGCTGGTGGGGCTGCGGCCCGGCGCCGACTACGAGGTGCGCGTGCTCTCGCAGGACCACATCGGCGATGGACTCTTCAGCAAACCTATCTTCGTGCGAACTTTGGGTGAGTTTTTAAAACACAGTATTTTTGACGAAAGAGCAGATCATAAGGCCTAAGATGCGCGCGTGATAACTTTTATCGACTTCAAAATGTATGGGCAAAATCGATAAAATGACGTGATAACCGCTTATATCGCGGCGCGCATCTTAGGCCTACTGGTAATACTATTTTTTCCTTTTAACAGACGTTCGCCTCGTTTAACTCATCGTGTGCACACGTAATTTGAACGCGTTCCAGACCCCGAGACGGCGGAGACGGGCGCGACGGCGTTTGCGGCGGCCACGGAGGCGACGGCGGCGGCGGCGGCGGGCGAGCTGCAGGTGTGGGCGCGCCTGCTGGACGAGGGCGCGCTGGTGCGCTGGCGCGGCGCGGGCGCGGCCGAGCGCTGCACGCTGCGCTGGTACGCGGGCCCGGCGCCCGGCGAGCGCCTGCTGGCCACGGCGCACACGCATCACGATTACATGCTCGGTGGGTACGACTCGTCTCGCCGTATCGTGTATGACGTCACCGCCGATTCTCTGTCTCCGTTCTGTTTAAATTTTTCACGAATTTTGTCGCGAGCTCGTCGACTCTCGGATCGTTCGCATCGAGCCGCTTGATATTTTTTCGCATTTTCGTACGGAGCGCTTCGGAGCGTCGATCGATTGATCGCCGGGTGTTCTTCCAGTGAGCGAGATCGAGGAGGGCGCGTCGTACTGGGCGCGCGTGGAGTGCGCGCAGGGCGGCGCGGGCGGCGCGGCGCTGCAGGTGCCGGCCTACGCGCGCCTGCGCACGGCCGCCGCCGCCGCCGCCGCCGCGCTGCTGCTGGCCGCGGCCGCGCTCGCCGCCTACTTCGCCCGCCGCCGCCTCGCGCGAGCGCGGCCCGGCTCCGCGAAGCGTGTTCGCTGATGACGAGAGTTCGCCGGTGCCGATTCCGACTGCGCGAGCGGGATGAATCGAGTCAGTTCCGTCGAATCGAATCGAAGAGAAGTTTTGTATTCGATTTTTTGCCTGTCTCTTTCGCATTACGATTACGGTCACGCAGACTGGGCGGCGCTGACGGGTCGATTGTGTTAGGTAGGTGTTTACTGCCCAGACGACGTTCAGGATGTCGATTACCGGTCAACTTCCTGCGCATGACACCGAGCACATGAGACGCTAAATATGTTTGTTTTACATTTACATGATTATTATGTTACTTTTATTTCTAAATTAGTAAGTACCTACCAAATGACATTTTTTTTGAAAATTTTGATATTGTTTTTGTTAGATCCATACTTCCTCGGACAGCCTGTATAAGTAATACGAATCGTAAAAACGTCTTGGTAATATCCTCTCGCGCGGTCGTGATTGTGACTTACATTGAATTAAAATAAAGTGTGTGATAGGTAGATTGGCAAGCAATCAAAGCAACGCGTGCAGAACGATCGCGCCGGCGATGCCGCGATGGCGATCTGCACGCGTTGGTTTGGTTGAAGCTTTACAGTAAGTTATGTTACGTTATTTATTTGTACGATTAAATTAATAAAAAATTTACGTTATATAATTTGTGTTTTCATTATCAAAATCAAATCAAATCAATTTATTTGCGTGAAAAGTGGTCTACAAGTTCTTACAATATTAAAATGTCCGCACAGTCCACCAGAAGCTGACATGCAAATATTGTTAACATTATATTTAATACATTAAAATTTAATAAATTACATTTTGGTATTTAATTAATAATTTTAGTGTCAATTTAATTTAATTAAAAATACATAAATAAATAAATAAATAAATATCCTTGGACATTTTGCACTGCGCCGCTAGTCCCAAACTAAGCAAAGCTTGTACTATGGGTACTAGACAACGGATATAAATACATACATATTAAATTATACATAATAGAAAACACCCAGACCCGTCACAGAAACTAAAATTCATCATTTCAATTCCTGCCCAACCGGGAATCGAACCCGGGACCTCTCGGCATAGTAGTCCGTTCTGAACCACTACACCAAACGGCCGACGAGTACATACATAATTTAATTAGTATTTAAATAAGTAGGTATTCATGGCAATTTCAAAGGTTACAAAATCTATTATAACCAGGGCTTTATTAATCTAAGTACACAGGACAAAATATTCAAGTTTATATCATGACATTGACAGTGGGGCGCCACCGTCAATACCGGATCGCTGGTTCCGATTTTTGCCATGTTGGAAACCATATAGTTGAACGATGGTAGCGCCCCCCTGTCATTGAGTTTGGTGGGACAGTTCAGCGTGGGTCATCTATACCAACCACAGATATGGATAGATGCAGCATGTGAAAAAAAATTGTATGAAGACGAGCGTGCCACTTTTTAAACGTCATTAGTGTCATTTTAGCTAATTTTAGTGATTGCCGCAACGTAAAAATAATCGTATCATCGTACTGTACCTCTAGTAGGAAAAACTTTCGAGTTCGTTTCGTTGCGTATTCAAAGTGTCATCGAAAAATTTTGTATGAAAAATTAAACAGCGCCCCCTAGGGCGGCTATAATATAGGGGGCGCTGTTTAATTTTTCATACAAAATTTTTCGATGACACTTTGAATACGCAACGAAACGAACTCGAAAGTTTTTCCTACTAGAGGTACTGCATTCGCAAAGTCATCGAATGATATCGTGTGACTCGATTCGATAATTAATTAATTCCGATAAAACTGATATTTTGTTAAATTTATTATAGCTAGTCTGAATGTGGATTAAAATAATTTTGTAGCGGTAAACGTCATTCTATATTATGAATTTTCTTATTAATTTGCAATTAAATAATATTTTTATTGAATGTTTATCAAAGTAATGATCGTTATTCCATTGTATTAAACAGTACTACTAGTAAGTCATACCTATCTAATTTCATACTTTTAAATATCCTAGTACCTGACCTAGTTTCATAAAATAAAGACTAACTCAAGCTTTTTATTTTTAATAAAATGTAAAAATGCGTAGTTTTGCCAATACGTTTTCTTTCATTAAGCTAAGTCAGGTACCTAGTTTTAAAGATATTTCTAAACGACAAAATCCAGTGCCGTCGTATACATAGACGTATACTGCGATCACAGACCTGACTTCTTGATTTACTTGTTACTTGTGCTGTTAATTACAATTCTCAATCCGTAAATCCGCGTGTTTTCTATACAAACTGAGGTACTTGCATACAATGATTAAATCTATCGCCCCGCGCTCCCTAAGCTATAGGAAAGCTAAGAAAATTTTAGAAAATGGATATCTGCAACAATATTTTTAATTTTGTAACTGAAACGGATGTCACTTCGGAAGAGCCTGAAGATTAAATTCTAATTGAAAAAATAAAAAAATGTTAAACATTTTATACGTACCTACGTATAAGAACACATCGCAGCTGTTATAAATCGACAGAAAAGCAAATCCGCCGCGGCTTGAAACAGGAGTTAATCACTGGATGGAGTTACACAGTCCAAAAATCTTCTCTACTGATCGGCATTAACACACCAGGATAGTTCAAGAAGCGATTGAAATTAAGAAATATAAAAATTTCAATCGGTCTTAATTTCAGTCGGGAGGACGGATTAAAATTTTCACCAGTGTGGAATCCGCTGATTAATAAAATTAAATTATGCAATACGAATGATAAGTACGAATACGGATACTGTGAGGGTTCGTGTATCGTGTTACATCAATATTTGTAGTGTAACAAATGACAATATGAGGGTAGTTGAAAATGTTCAAGCCCGCCCGAACCACAACGCGAGCCGTCAGTCTGCTTGTGACTACACGGCTGCAGCATAGCAGCCTCAGATCATAGAAGGGATAGCAGCCTAAACGTCAAGCCGTGAGTACTTATGTAAACGTCGCGTTAAGACCCGTGTCTTTCTATCTTAGTTAAAACTGGTTTTTTTTCCAACCCTGATAGTTCATCATCATCATCATNTAACGAGTGTGATAGGTAGATTGGCAAGCAATCAAACCAACGCGTGCAGAACGATCGCGCCGGCGATGGCGATCTGAGCCCCGATTACGGTAATTTTTAACGTCAACAATCCAGACACGCTTCTCGATTCTGCGATACGATTGGTCGTTCAACAGCGTACGTCAGCTGATTTGACCAATCGTATCGCAGAATCAGAAACGCGTCTGGATTGTAGACGTTATAAAAGTTACCGTAATCGGGGCTCTGCACGCGTTGGTTTGGTTGAAGCTTTACAGTAAGTTATGTTACGTTATTTATTTGTACGATTAAATTAATAAAAAATTACGTTATATAATTTGTGTTTTAATTGTCAAATCAAAATCAAATCAAATAAATTTATTTGCGTGAAAAGTGGTCTACAAGTTCTTACAATATTAAAATGTCCGCACAGTCCACCAGAAGCTGACATGCAAATATTGTTAACATTATATTTAATTATTTAATACATTAAAATTTAATAAATTACATTTTGGTATTTAATTAATATTATTATTTTAGTGTCAATTTAATTTAATTAAAAATACATAATTTAATTAGTATGTAAATAAGTAGGTATTGATGGCAATTTCAAAGGTTACAAAATCTATTACACAGGACAAAATACTCATAGTTTATATCATGACATTGACAGTGGGGCGCCACCGTCAATACCGGATCGCTGGTTCCGATTTTTGCCATGTTGGAAACCATATAGTTGAACGATGGTAGCGCCCCCCTGTCATTGAGTTTGGTGGGACAGTTCAGCGTGGGTCATCTATACCAACCATGTTTTTAGTTTATTTTTAAATGGTTGCAAAGGAAGAGACTTTGTTGTTTCATCTAACCTGTTATAATTTTTTATGGCCATACAGTAAGCATTTTTTACTGTACACTAGTTTTCGTAGGAAAATTTACCACATTTACCAAATCATGTTGATGGGTCTACATGACGTTAGACTGTCTACGTTGTAGATTGCCCTGATACATTGTTTTTGTCTCCCTATCTACCTGAGTAGTTTTGTTCATATCGATTAGACAACTTACTTATATTTTTCTATCGAAATATTAGGTCCTCCTTATCTATGAAATTAGCGTTTTATATGGAGAATTTCACGAACATTAATTTTTCCATACTATCGTTTTTTAAGGAAACACACATTCAAATATTTAAGGCGGTTATCACACTGCGCCGCGCTCCGCCGCGGAGCGCGTGATTTTCATATAAAAAATCACGCGCTCGGACGCGTTGTCAGTGTGAAGTGCCGCGCGTGTTTTCTATATAAACTGAGGTAGTTGCATACAATGATTAAATCTGTCGCCCCGCGCTCCCTAAGCTATAGGAAATGCTAAGAAAATTTTAGAAAATGGATATCTGTAACAATATTTTTAATTTTGTAACTGAAACGGATGTCACTTCGGAAGAGCCTGAAGATTAAATTCTAATTGAAAAAATAAAAAAATGTTAAACATTTTATACGTACCTACGTGAACACATCGCAGCTGTTATAAATCGACAGAGGAGCAAATCCGCCGCGGCTTGAAACAGGAGTTAATCACTGGATGGAGTTACACAGTCCAAAAATCCTCTCCACTGATCGGCATTAACACACTAGGATAGTTCAAGAAGTGATTGAAATTAAGAATCATAAAAATTTCAATCGGTCTTAAATTTCAATCGGGAGGACGGATTTAAATTTTCACCAGTGTGGAATCCGCTGATTAATAAATTATGCAACCGCGAATTTTGCCGTCAAGAAGTACGAATACGGATACTGTGAGGGTTCGTGTATCGTGTTAACATCAATATTTGTAGTGTAACAAATGACAATAATTATGAGGGTAGTTGAAAATGTTCAAGCCCGCCCGAACCACAACGCGAGCCGCCAGTCTGCTTGTGACTACGGCTGCAGCATAGCAGCCTCAGATCATAGAAGGGATAGCAGCCTAAACGTCAA